TCGGCTAAAAATGCAAATGTTTATGTTTGTTACAGAACGATTTAATCGATGTGGTTGGTGCCATTCAGTTGTCCAAAAAGACGACGCGACGCATTCGCTTGAATTTCCTTTTCGCCTGTTTCTACAACGCTATCGGCATTCCAGTCGCAGCCGGTTTGTCTCTCTGAAAATATTTCTTCGAATTGCGTTCTCATCATTCTTTTCATTCACCTCATTACTGATGCAATCATCGGATCGAAAGTGCACTCAACTGATTTGTAGAGATGTAATCACTTCAGAAAAGTGAAATTTAAATTATTTTTTTCACCGTTCAACTTTTGTTTCAACTTTAAAACAAGAGTTTAGGGGTGTTCATACCGTTGGGATTCGCAATCCAGCCGTGGATGGCTGCGGCAGCAATGGCGTTGTCTTCAGTGAGCGTTGTCACATCGTCACTCCTTCTGAAAACATTCAAGTTCGTGATTTTTTCATTAACAATTTGTTCGGTTATCGATAAACTAATTTTGATTGTAACAAACGAATCAACGAAGTAACAGAAATTTATTGTGTAGTATAATATCTTCTTCGTTTGTAGAATATTTCTCTGTGTTCAATGAGGAATGATCTATAGGACGTTTTAGTGGCGATCAGAGAACTGTTATTCGAAAAGCATTAAGAGATAATTCAAGTGACATGTGATAATGGTGCTTATTAAAGGAAGCCAACGCGTCTTTCATTGTGTACATCCGAATTCCGAAAACATGAAGCAAAATTGATGATGGGTGGTTCATATATTGTGGTGCATAGAGGTTTGGATGATAAGGGCGTAAAACGATCGAATTCGAAGTCGTCAGTTGCATCTGTCATATCGAGTATCAGCTCCATCTTCGGCTCGCAACAGAGTATCAATCGACCGAAATCGAGAGAAAGGTTTGTTATCAGTGGCATTTGATGATATGATAAGATATTGGATTGTTCACGTCTGTAACGTGCTTATTTTATGGTGTACTAGTAGATGATAAGCTTATCTTTCGCTTGAACCTAAACAATCTACCAGAAATTTGTTCTTTACTTCATTTCTAAAGTGAACTCAATTCGTTGAGCTCACGAGCAGAGGGATACATGCCTAAGCGTTTCCATTAGGCTTGCATGTCGAAATAAAACAATGCGAATGTCATCATCACTTCAAAGTTATTATTTCTTTTCATTCAGCACAAAAACTGTCGCTTCCCTCTCTTTTCTATCAACAACTGTACTTTGATTATTATCGTTAGCTTCCGAACTTTATTTTGCTGAGAAATTGCAAGTGCACGTGAAATTTAGATCGTGCATGAGTCATTTGGATAGTTAAATTTGGATCGTCAAACTAATTAGTTTGAGGACTTTTTGAGTGGAATTGTCTACGATCATGCGCAGAACAGTAGTACATGTTCATTGTCAGTTAATTGAGACATTTAGTGGTGAAATTGGTTTGCGGTAGCATTTTACTTTGAATATTTACAAATCGAATGTTTTATTCAGTGATATCGTGTGAAAGTCGTTCATTCAACTCATTGATTGATCGGCATCTTTTAAAGAGCGTATATTTGCATTTGCAAAAGTGTATCAAACTTATTGTAAGTCGGTACAAATTCAGCGTACTTTTCCATCTAGAATGCATGCTGCTCTTCGCAACGTATTCTTGCTTTTCCCTTTGTTTTTCTATTTGTTTTTCGTCCGAAATAATTGCAAACGTCTACTGCGGAAAACTCGACGTTGAGCTGCTGGACGTGTGCGCATTGCATGAATCTAAACGAATTTTACGACTGGAATTTTCGAAACACTACAAAAATTCTGTATTTTGCAAACTCTAACAGAATTTCATCAAAAATTTTCGAAAAAACAGCGTTCCTGAATAAGTTGAGTACTTATATTCAAGCTTCAAGCTTACCTCCGACCGTCAAATCATTATCAATTACTTTCCTTTCATTTTCATGTCGTTTCTGA